TCCTGCATGTCCAGATTATACAACAACAGTCAAGCAGTACAGACAAGAGCAGTTTCTTGCCTAAATGGCTAATCTTGCCATGTTGAAAGCAAACTCCATAACAAGTTTCTTCGATGCCCATCTTCTTCTCAGACATAATTGGTGCTGCCAGGAGCAGACATTTCTCACTGTCAAGAAAAACCCTAAACCATTTTAAATGTCATTTTCTGAAGGTCTTTGAGAGGTTTGAAGACTGTTTATCTATCTCAAATATATTTCTGTATATCTAGAAAACCTAACTAACCTAACTATAAATTCTTTTTTTTTTTTGAGAAAAGCCAGCATAAAGCACTTTTATTGCAATAATAAAACTTGAAACGCATATGTGGTGCAGAGGGCAGGGGACAAAAGCATACTTTCTCTCACCAAATCACTACACAGGACAGCAGAGGGTGAGAAGGAGGAGGAAAAAAGCCAGGAAGCTGAGATTAGCAGAGAGAGCCAAGCATCAAAACCCAGGAGATGCTGAAGCTGTGATGACCAGCATCATTTTCTTAGAGAACACTCAAGGATTTGTAGTGATGGCTGGGCGTCCATTGGGTGGTGAGTCTACAAACAGCACCTTCAATTTAAACTTTCCATTAAAGTTCTTAAAATTTAGGAAGTGGAGCTTGGATAGTTACAAGATTACAAAAGTTCTGAAAATTCATTAGAAAAACCATAGGATGAAAAACAAATTAAGCCAGGTCACAAAGAAAGCTTCAGAGGTCCCTGCTGACCAGGGACAGGTTCTGTAGTGTCCAACACAGCAGTAAAGGGACCTGCTTTAAGAGGCAGACGGTTTCAGAAGGTGGGAGGACTGTCAGAAGCAAAGGCTTGCTCCTTCCTTCCGACGTCAGTTTGGGTAGGGCTTTTAATTTAACAGGACCTCCCTCACTGGAAAAATCCAGCCCTCAACAGCATCTCCAATCTGCTATGGCTTTGCAGCACAGCAGCAAGAATGTCTTAATATATAATAATTTTTTTCATCCAAAAAATTAAAATAAAATAAAAATTCTTGCAAATCCCACCCCCAACACCAATTCCTATTCTAAAGTTAACCCATGGCTTGTGCTGTTAATACTTGACAATACAGTTCATTGGAAACCTAGACCTGAAACACTGAAACTGAATCTTCACCCCAAAACAAAATAACTTGAGGTTTATGGCATAGTTTAGGTCAACACACATACAGAAGGGGACGAGGACATGGAGGTGTCCGAAGCAAAGCTGAGTGACGGAACACATTCAGTCGGGTAGGTGTCTATACAAAGAGTGGTGGGACATCAGGAAAAGCTCCACATGGATTCATGTGCACCCGTCTGGAGGTCCCAGATCCCTCCATGGCAGATCCATGTGCAAGGAGCTAAGGGAGGAGGCCACTTCTGTCATTCCAGTTTTAGAAGCTCCACATCAAAAACCAGAGTGGCATGTGGTGGGATGATGCCTGGGTGCCCAGTGGCTCCATAGGCATAATCTGGGGAGATTGTCAGTTTGGCTCTCTGACCCACACTCATCTGGGCTACCCCTTCTTCCCAGCCTCGGATCACCTCCTGCTTGCCTAGCATAAACTTAAAAGGCTTGTTTCTGGCCGGGCGTTGGTGGTGCACGCCTTTAATCCCAGCACTCGGGAGGCAGAGGCAGGTGGATCTCTGTGAGTTCGAGGCCAGCCTGGTCTACAGATCGAGTTCCAGGACAGCCTCCAAAACAATACAGAGAAACACTGTCTCGAAAAACAAAAACAAAAACAAACAAACAAACAAAAAATGCTTGTTTCTGTCCCGAGAAGAATCAAATTTCTTTCCATCTTCAAGCATTCCCATGTAGTGCACCACGCAGGTCTGGCCGTGCTTCAGGAAGGTGCGTCTGTCTCCAGGAGAGATGGTCTCCACCTGCACTCCCATGGCAGCGGCAGCGTTGGCGGAGGAGGAGGAGGACGCGGGCGGCGGCGCGACGGGCGGCGTGGAGCCAGAGCGGACCTGGCGGCGGTTCAGAGGCTCGGCTTCGTCCCTCGGCGTGTCCCTCGCACGCGCACGGCAGGGTACAGCACGCCCCGCCCTGCTTGCGCGAGGCGCTCTCTCGGAAGCCCTAACTATAAATTCTATTATCATTAACTATCTATAGTCTGTATTCAATTATGCATTACATTTTAAAAGATCAGTATAAGCACAATGCTTAATCAAGAGGAGAAATATACACATCACAAAATTGACCTTGAATTTGTATCAATAAATGAAAAACAATACCTATATCATAATTCCCTTTTTTACCATTAAAAAGATTGGCTGTGATCACTAGCCAATTATAAACAATCCCATTTAAATGAAAACAAAGATTTATAAACAAGATGGGAATTAGGACGTCGCTCATTCCAAACTGCTTCATGCTGGAAGGGGGCGCTGTTCATACCATGGGGATCATGATAAAACTCAGAAACCTGTATAAGTCCATATTTTTGGGGTCTATAAAGCTCCATCATCTTAGCTGTCTCAATTGTTGGAACATCTGGTCCACTGCTTCCGGGGGTCTTGGTTCGTCAAACCACAGAAGTCTGGAAGACATCCTCAGCTTTTTATGTTCTGTGGAAACATAAATAAAAACTCCTTTTCCGAGTAACGTATCCTTATACTTAAATTTTGAAGTCAAGGCATTTTCAAAAGATAGAAGTTGGATTAATTCAGCAGCATTTATAATCAAGTGTACTTTAGCAGCAGTTCCTTCCTGAGCAAGCAAAAAACTGAAAAACACAATAGCGTACAGTATCCAGACTCTCTGTGTATTTTCCATCTTTATGTGGCTTATTTATTTATCTATTATTACTTTATTTATTTTACTTTTATTTATTTTTCTCTGAGACAGGATTTCTCTTTGGAAATCTGCCTGCCTCTGCCTCTGGAGTAAATCTTACCAGCGTGAGCCACCACAACGCCGGCTTTTGTATTTATATACCACTTTGTCATTTCATTTTCTCTCTCAATCTCACATATATTTTTAAACACACTGTAAACCTTTAGAGGTTTGTTCATCCAAGTCTGACTTTACTGTAAATCTTTATGTTTTTCTGGCCACGTGTCTTATCTGTAAAACCGCGGCTGTTTTAAACTGTCGTTTCAAGATGGCGGGTGTAAGTGTGACTTCAGCTTACCGCCTCAGTCCATGTTGACATCCAGCAAAAGCTGCCACTTCCAGCTGTACGTACACACCTTTCAATCGTTAGCAGAGTCTCTTAAAACAACCTTGCTGGTTTTTTTTTTTCTTTTTATGCCGAGTCAGGAAGACTCCGGTAAGCAAGCCACATGAATCTCGGCTTGTCGATAGCAAAACAGAGCACACCTGAGAAAAATGCTGCTACCAAAAATCTGTGCTTCTCTCCGTTCTTCTGTTTCTAAAATTCCTTTAAAGCTTTTGTCATTCTACGTGGCAATTCAATCCCACTCCTGATCACCATTTTGTTAAGAGAAGCCTTTTTCTTGCTAGCCGCTTTGGTTTATCTCCCGCCAGTTGCCTGGGCTCTGCCGCTTTGTAGTCCCCAAATAACACACAGGAGGCTATATTAATTATGAAGCTGTTGGCCTTGCTTGTTTCTTACTGGCTAGCTCTGACTTAAGTAATTACCCCATAATTGTTAATCTAAGTATGTCTCTTACCGGAGAGGTTTCCGGGCTTCCTACCCCAATGGTGTTACATCTCGACTCTCTTGTGTTTCTCCTTTCCAGAGTTCTCCTGGACTCCTAATCCCTCCTATCTTGGTTCTCTATAGGCTCAACAGTACTTTATTGACATAAGACTTCCCCAACACAATTTTTTTTTGGTTTTATGAGACAGGGTTTCTCTGTACTATTTTGGAGGCTGTCTGTCCAGCCTAGCCTCGAACTCACAGAGATCCGCCTGCCTCTGCCTCCCGAGTGCTGGGATTAAAGGCGTGCACCACCACCGCCCGGTCCACCTTTCAATTTTTAAATTACATTTTATCCTGTGTGGGGTGTGTGTGTGTGTGTGTGTGTGTGTGTGTGTGTGTGTGTGTGTGTACTCCCTTGAGAGCACATATGTATCTGTGTTTGAGAACAGCCCCCAGGAGTTGGTTCCCCCCTCCTCCTATGGGTACTGGAGACTGAATTCAGGCCCTCCAGTGATGGGGAAGTCCTGTATATATGTCAATAAAGCACTGTTGGCCAGTAGGGAAGCAACATAGGTGGAACTAGGAGTCGAGGAGGATTCTGGGAAGGAGAAACACAGGGAGTCTTCATGTAGCTGCCATAGGGGTAAGAAGTCCGGACCCCTTTCTCCAGTAAGAGAAATACTTAGATTAACAATTATGGAGTAAATACATAAGTTAGAGCTAGCCAGTAAGAAACAAGCAAGGCCAACAGCTTCATAATTAATACAGTATCTTGTTTGTTATTTGGGGACTACAACGTGGCAGAGCCCAGGCGACTGATGGGGAAAAACCAAAGCGGCTGGCAAGGAAAAGGCTTCACTCTACACTCCAGCTTGGCTACAAGTGCATTAATCTATTGAACTCTTGACAGTATCTACCTTGCTTTTTGAGACAGGGTCTCAAACTGGGATCTAGGCTTGCCAATTAGTCTAGACTGACTGGTTGGAGACCTAGAGATCTTCCTGTTTCTGCCTCCATAGAAAAGAAATAGGTTTATAATCACGTGCCACATTTACCTGCCTCTGCTTCTCCTCCTCCTCCTCCTTCTTCTTTTTGGATTCTCAAGACATTGTTTCTCTGTGTAGCCTTGTAGACCAGGCTGGTCTACAAGGATTTGCCTGCCTCTTCCTCCTGTGATTAAAGTTGTGCACCACCACCACCTGTCTTGAGATTTACTTTCATTTTATGTTGTATAGGTGTGTTGCCTGCATGTATGCCTGTGCCCACATACACGTGGCACTTAAGGAGGCCAGAAGAAAATGTCAGATCCTCTTGGAACTGTCCTTTACTGGATTTTGACAGAGATCACAAGTAGTCTACCTGATTGTTTCATATTATTATTATTATTAAATATATTATTATTGCTGGAGTATGGGCACAAGGCATGAGTACCACAGGATGCATGAGGAGGTCAGAAGACAACTTTGGACTCTAGGTCTCTCTCTTCACCATAAATTCCAGGGTGATAGAACCAGGTTATTAGATTTACTTGGTAGCATCTTGCCAGCTCTGCTTGATAGCATTTTCGTTTGTTTTTTTGTTTTCATCTCTTGAGACAGGGTCTATGTTGTCCTGGAACTGATTATGTAGACAGGCTGGCCTCAAACTCCCAGTATTCTGCATGCTTCTGTGCCCCAATTACTGGAATTAAGTGTATGTGCCACCACACCCAGCCTGCCTCATTGCTTTCAATGTTGGCTACACTGTTTTTCAGTCCAGCAGATAAGAACTGAGTTAGATCCTTAAATCTAAACTTCATGACATCGTAAGTCAAAATCCAAACTGCTAGTTTCTTTTCTCCTTTTTTTTGCTTTTTATCATAATTTTAAAAATTGAATCTTTCAGTGTTTCACTTTGTGTACTCCAATCCAATTCATTTCCCAGTCCTTCTGTATCTGACCTCTACTCTTGTAGCCTCACCCCCAAAAGTTAATAAACAAGAAACTAATAAACCAAAGAATCCCATTGCCCCAACCCATCTGGTCAGGCATGTGCTCCTCTATGAGCTGCTTCGCTCTGTGCATGAACCACTCCATTCCTGCCTTCCCCCATCTCCATCAAATATTCGTTCGTCAAATGGCATTGGAGGTTTCAGTGTGTCATGCAGTGGGCCCTTTTGCCCAATTAACCCACGCAGCTTTACCTGTGAATGTTCATTGCAATGAGTCCTTCCGCTAGTTCACTGCCTCTGACTTCTGTAATGTCAATACTGGACCCTCATAGAGACTCTCAGATGTCCTGCTGTTTTCCTGGGGGATCCCGTACCCCGGGCAGCCAGCCCTTTCACACCCTCCAGATCGCCCTAAATGGGAAAGAGGTCAGGGCGGGACCTGGATCAGGGCCTGGGCGGTGGTGAGTTGGTCAGCTTCCAACTTTGCTGCATCCACACCACCTTAGCTGGTTTCCCCCAGGCCAGGTGAGGGGTAGGGCCAGCTTTCTCACTCTCCACACCTCTGGGGTCAGCCCACCGCCGCACTGCCTGCACAAGGGATGGGGCCAGCTCTCAGCTCCCACGCCCTTGCACCTGGCTCTTCCGCACTCACCTTCAAGGGGAGCTCTTCTACTCTGCCTAGGTGAGTCAGCAGGCAAGGGGTGTGGCCAGCTCGCCCACACCCATGCCTTTGCCCAGCTATCCCAAGCCCACTACTAGGCTGGTACCACCATTGGTGACTGGAGAGGGTGGCTTAGAGGGGCCCGCAGACATCAATATGGCTTCCCGCTGCAGTACAGACCCCAGACATGCTCAAAGTCTTCAGTGGTAGGCTACTGACATCACCACAGACCCTGGCTTCATCAGGACCACAAACCCAGACATGGCCCTCAGGTGCAGCAGGGGTCCAAGGCATCACCACAGTCTCGGGTGGCTCTCACATCAGGAATTCCTCACCGCCGAAGCGCCTCTGGTTCCACCTGTCTTCATAGTGCAGACAGCTCATCTTCTCTTTTGCCGGTGGCTGTGTCAGAGGGGCAGCAGGTGGCTGCTGATTTCAGGGGATCTGCCCACCCGCATGCGAGGCGCTGATGGGTGAATCTCTGATAGGCAAGGTGTGGAGGGCGAAGGTCCCAGAATGTCTCTTGTTACTGCTGGCTTTCCTTGTTTGCAGCTGCCGTGCTCCCCTGCTGTTTGGCATGGTGTGAATGGGTGTGGGGGGCGATCTCCACTGCCTTTAATGTAGTGTGATTGTCTCATGGAAATAAATGTCCTGTTCTACTGGGCACTTTTACCCGTGAATTATCATGAAGATGATTTCCTCATAAGCGGTACTGTTTAACTGAAGCAATGATTTTATATAACAATAGTGTTATTTTAAATAGGATTTTGATGACTGGCGATCTTTAATAAATGTAGTAAGAGACTATGATAGAGGTCAGCTTAGTGGGAAAACTAATATAGCTAAAGGCAACATAGGGTGTTGCCCCAGCTCCTGATAAAGCAGTACCTGCAGAAAATAGAAAATAACAAGGAAATGTTTCTCTTGAGGCGCCACATAGACTGTGGTTTAGGTTAATCATTAAGAAAACCCGCTGGGCAGTGGTGGCGCAGCCTTTAATCCCAGCACTTAAGAGGCAGAGACAGGTGGATCTCTGTGAGCTGGAGGTCACCCCGAGTTCCACACAGAGAAGCCCTGTCTTTTTGTTGTTGTTGTTGCTTTTGGTTTTGGTTTTTTGAGACAGGATTTCTCTGTGAAGCTTTGTAGACCAGGCTGGCCTTAAACTCACAGATATTTCCCTGCCTCTGCCTCCCGAGTGCTGGGATTGAAGGCGTGCGCCACTACTGCCCGGCAGCAGTTATGGTTAATTAGGGTTAATAATTAAGTCAGCACAGCTAACAGCTTCATAACTAATATAGTGTCTTGTGTGTTATTTGGGGGCTGAGACAGCAGTGGGACCCAAGCGGCTGGCGGGAAGACTACACAGTACCGCTTTGAGGTGAAAACCCAGAGGAAAAATGTAAAGTTTAGAAAGGCACATGGTTGAGTGAGGGACTCATTGGGAACAAGGAACAAGAACAAAGCAGCCCAATATTGTTAGCGCATGTGCCTTTCTCGCTGGGATGGGCTGGTGACCAAAGATGACGATTAATTCCTTAGAGCCACCTCTGCCCTCAGCTTCCTGTTGCTGGAGTTTCTTGTCCCGACACGTCCCACCACCCTTCAATCTCAAATAAACACACGGATGCTATGTTAGTTATAAATCTGTTGGCCGATGGCTAGGGCTTCTTACTGGCTAGCTCTCTCTTAGTTGTTAACCCATTTCTATTAATCTAAGCATTTCCGGCCGGGCGTTGGTGGCGCACGCCTTTAATCCCAGCACTCGGGAGGCAGAGGCAGGCGGATCACTCTGTGAGTTCAAGGCCAGCCTGGTCTACAGAGCGAGTTCCAGGACAGCCTCCAAAACAATACAGAGAAACCTTGTCTCGAAAAAAAACAAAACAAAAAACAAACAAACAAAAAACAATAAAAGGGAAGTATGCGTGCACACACACACACACTCACACACACATATACCTCCAACATGTCCGGATCTCACCTAGGGTGCTAATGAATGGCCAGCCTCCAACAGGTCAGAGAAACTGAAGAGGAGATGCAGAGCAGGTGAACTACTGGACAGATAGACAGACACATGAGGATTTTTCTGAGGGCCAAAGCTTAGTTCTTCATTTTATTTTTCTTAGTATTGCTTGTTCTACTCTATTTCTTTCCTGTTCTGTTTTCTACCCTGATGTTTCCCTCTGTCTCTCTTGGTGTCTTTCTTCCAGCTAACTTTATTTTTTCCCTTATAACTTATATATCACAGAAAAATCTTTCAAGCAGTATAAAAACTATAATGTGGTTACATTCTATTTTAAATGAATGCTTATTAAGAATACAGATAAAAATGTTTACCATTTCCCCTACATAATTGAACATTCCACATACTGTAGATGGAAAACAAATTATCCCAAGAACCCTCATACATTCACATCCAAGCAACTTGTAATAGATTAACAGAATTAATGCCAAGCAAGGTTTTTTTCTCAGCCAGTTCTTTTACCTGCAGGCTATATTTTTAGTTCACTTTATTACTTATCTCAAATGGTAATCTTATAAGAAATCTTAGAAGAATCACAAACCTAAACTTGTATATGTAAAAAAGTAAGTCATCTCCATATACTCAGTGTTCATAGCATTTGTCAAAAGTTGATTTTTGTTTTTAACATCTAGAAGCTGATGGGGGATACCCTTTGTTATGCCCAAGTCCATGCCTCTGCCTCCCACAAAGACCTCTTTGAACTCCTTGAGCTCTGATGCATCCTTTGTAACTTTTTGTTCTCATTTATTTATTTTAGTTTTTCAAGACAGGGTTTCTCTGTGTCCTGGAACTCACTTTGTAGACCAGAACTCACAGAGATCTGCCAGCCTCTGCCTACCGAATGCTGGGTTTAAAGGTGTGTGCCACCACTGCCCAGCCCTTTTTGACTTTTTATAACCATTTTTTAACACACACACACACTCACTCACACACACACACACTGTTCTAATGTGCTTTCTCTTGCTGTGATAAACACCCTAACCCAAAGCAACTTTGGAGGAAAGGGTCTATTTGGTTTACGGGTTACAGCCCATCAGTCAAGGAAGGTAAGCAGGAACCTGAGGCAGAAACTTGCATGCAGATGCTGAAGCAGAAACCATGGGAAAGTGGTGATTACTGGCTTGATTCCTGATTCAGCTACCTTCCTTATACAACCCAGGACCACATACGCAGGGATGCTACCACCTACAGTGGTAGCTTCATGAACTAATAACCAAGAAAATGCCCCATAGACAAAACCATAAGCCAGTCCAATCCCGTAACGGAGGTGTCCTCTTTCTGTCGTGTCAGGTTGACAACTGATGTTTGACATGTACGTAGACATAATCACTGTATGATGTGTACATAACATGTGACCTGGGCGATAGAATTAGTAATTGAGATTGGAATAAAAGGTGCTCGCTTCTGCAGCACATATATTAAAAAATTGGAACGATACAGAGAAGATTAGCATGGCCCCTGCGCAAAGATGACACGCGAATTCGTGAGGCGTTCCATATTAAATTAAAAAAAAAAAAGAACTTTGTTTGGGTGGGGGCAGTTCGGTGGGTAGAGTGCTTGGCCAGCCTGCAGGAAGCTCCGGTTTCAGCTCCCCGGCAGCACCAGGTGTGATGACACCCTGCTCAGGAGGTAGAGGCGTTTGGACCACAGTTTCTAAGCTAAGTAACAAACTCCAGGCCAACCTCGGATACTTGGGACTCTATCCAAAACCAAGCAAACAAAAATCCGGGTGCTTGCCAAATTGCTACTGCCTGGCAGATTGTAGCTGAAGAAGCGAACTTGTGAATTGATTGTCACTCAACAAGTCCCGCAACTGTGAAATAACACAAGTGTGTTTCTTCTGTACGCGGCTAGGGAATTATCATCTCACGTTCTGGTGAGTCCACACTCACAGGGTCGCCTGGCACCCTGCACCGAAACTGCTCTTACGCCGCCTTACTCGGTGCGCAGGCGCAGAGTGGTGCGTAGCAAGGGCACTTAGTCCAGTGACTAGGGACCTAAGCCTCGGTCGGCATCACTGCGCAGGCGGTTTCTCTCTGTGTGGCTGGGCTACTACGAGGTGCGCAGGCGCAGATGACTGCAAAACTAGGGTTTGGGATCCGTGTTTGGAGTACAAAGCTGGGTGAGGGACCAGAGGTCCCCCGCGACACCGCGCAGGCGCACTTCCGCTTTGGTGCCGGGACGCAAACGCTGACCAGTGCGCAAGCGTGCGCATGCGCGGGCGCGAGGAGCGATGGCAGGTGTTGGGGTCGAGCGGCTGCCGGCGATGGTGCGATTCTCGCTGCTCGTGCTCGCTGTGTGTGCTGCGGGTGCCCATGGGCTCTATTTCCACATCGGCGAGACGGAGAAGCGTTGCTTCATCGAGGAAATACCCGACGAGACCATGGTCATCGGTCAGGGGGCTGAGGGTGGAGAGGCCCTTTGTTTTCGCCTGGCCCTCGGAGGCGCCCCTCCTCCCCTGTCAGCTCGCCCCCTTCCTGAGGGTGCCTTGAGGGCGCCGGGTCCCCTGCCCAGCGCCCCGGGGCCGCTTGTTGGGGGCCCGGTGGTGACTGTATGTCTGCCCCGCAGGCAACTATCGCACCCAGATGTGGGACAAGCAGAAGGAGGTCTTCCTGCCCTCCACCCCTGGCCTGGGCATGCACGTAGAAGTGAAGGACCCGGACGGCAAGGTAAGCCCCCACCCGGAAGGCTCTCGCGGGTGTCAGCCGTGCACTAATACCCCAGGGCATGCAAAGTCTCCTTGGTCCTGAGAAAGGGCCCCTAGGGATCACACCTTGTATTCCGAGAGGCGCCCGCAGAGTTGGGGCCTAATGCGTGTTGCAGGTGGTACTGTCCCGGCAATATGGCTCCGAGGGCCGCTTCACCTTCACTTCGCACACACCCGGTGACCATCAGATCTGTCTGCACTCCAACTCCACCAGGATGGCTCTCTTCGCTGGAGGCAAACTGGTAAGAGGCTCGGGTGTAGTTTTTCACTTGATTCCAAAGTTGGTTTAGTGCCTTCCTTTGGCATTCTTTTTCTTTTCATTTTGCCTTTTTGGGGGAGCGAGTGGGCACAGTCAGAACTGGGGAGTCCAGGCTGGCCCTTCTGCCTCAGCCGGAGACAAGAACGGACTCCGTAGCAGCAACCGTAGGCGGCACCCACTCATTCATTCCTGTTTCCCTGTAGCGTGTCCACCTGGACATCCAGGTTGGGGAGCATGCCAACAACTACCCCGAGATCGCTGCCAAGGACAAGTTAACAGAGCTGCAGCTTCGCGCCCGCCAGTTGCTTGATCAGGTGGAACAGATCCAGAAGGAGCAGGATTATCAGAGGGTAAGGCCGGGTCTCTTTGCACTTGGAGGCTGCGACTGACCTTTGAACCCACCGTGCAACATTTCTGATTGGGGCCTTCCCCTACCGGCTAGGTCAGTTTTTCAGAGAACGAATTAGGAGGTACCAGTCTGCATGGGAGAGGTTGGTTTTTTTTTCTTTCTTTCTTTCTTTCTTTGGCACTTTGTGTGCGTGTCTACCGTGCTGAAGGGTGAACCTCACCTGATCTCTGCCACTGACCACACATAAATCCCATACCACCAGGATTTTCCATTCAAGTGCTGTCCCTGCTTAGCTTCTGGGGTCAGATCTCAAGGGTTCAGGGTGGTGTGGCTGTGGACCCTTTAATTTTTAAAATTGTTATGAAATACATATAAAACTTAGCATTTTAACTATTTCTAAGTGTATAACACTGTGACATTAAGTAGATTCATATTGCATTGCAACCACCCTGACTTCTATCTGCCTAGCTTTCACCTTCCCGGAGAATCTGAGCCCAGCAAACACCCCACCCCCTAGTTGCAGTTTTGACATTTTGGTCTGTGACCCTGGTTGGTGTTAAACACTGACTCCCCTCTTACCTTCCCGTGTTGCTCTTCTACTTTTTTGCCAATGGTCTTGACCACTGTAACTCAACTCAGTGGAATCCTTTTGTGACTGTCCTAGTTCATTTACAGTGTGTCCAGGATTCATCTGTCTTGTAGTGTGTCAGAACTCTCTACTTTTCATATTTATTTATTTTTATTTACAACGCTATAAATTGGACATCATATAGGCTAGATAAAGGCTCTGAACTCCATCATGCCCCCCTAAAGATTTGTTTTCTAATCAGTTATGTGTATATATGTATGGGTTATGTGTGTTAGTGCAGGTATCCTCTGAGTCCAGAAGGGGGCATCATCCTCTGGAGATAGAGCTCCAGGTGGCTGTGACAGATCTGACATGGGTCCTGTACAAGAGGAGTATGAGCAGTATGAGCTCTTAACCTTGGCTTATCTTTCCAGCCTGTAGAATATCCCCCTCCTTCACCCCTCTTGGACAGGTGTAGTCCTGGCTGTTCTGGAAAGCGGTTGGCCTGAGCTCAGAGATCCGACTGCCCCTGCCTCCTGAGTGCTGAGATTAACGTTGTGTGCCAACACATCCAGCTGTAGAGCTCTCTCTCTCTCTCTCTTTTTTTTTTTTTTTTGGTTTTTACGAGACAGGGTTTCTCTGTATTGTTTTGGAGGCTATCGGTCCAGCCCGACCTCGAACTCACAGAGATCCGCCTGCCTCTGCCTCCGGAGTGCTGGGATTAAAGGCGTGCGCCACCACTGCCCGGCTGTAGAGCTCTCTTTTAAGGTTGAGTAATAGTCTGTTGAAAAGACCATCTTGCTTTGGATAGTTATTTCTAGATTGTATGGGCCAGTGTAGAGAGGACAGTGTACAATCTAGTAGTACCTATTGCCTGCTGGTTTCCCATGGGCTCGCATTGTAGCAGCATTGTTTTAGTCCTAGCAGAGATGGTTGTAGAAGGACATCACTTTCCTTCCTAGGGGAAGCCTCAGTGGGGAGACGCACACCTGATGCCATTATAGGTGGTATTCCAGAGACATTTGCTCTGGGAGTTGTGTAGTCACAAAAAGCTTATAGCAGATTGTGTTTTCCAACCCATTCTAACCCTTTGCTCACTATCTCTTGCAGTATCGTGAAGAGCGCTTCCGTCTGACCAGTGAGAGCACCAATCAGCGGGTCCTGTGGTGGTCCATCGCCCAGACTGCCATCCTCATCCTCACTGGAATCTGGCAGATGCGGCACCTTAAGAGCTTCTTTGAGGCCAAGAAGCTGGTGTAGGGCCCTTGCCGTGTGACCTTTCCCTTTTACCTCAGTTGTTTGATAATTTCCCCACCCAGTCCCTGTCCACTTGGATCCTGAGGAGGAAAAATGAAAAGCAATGTGTCACATTGGTATCGTGGCAAGAAGCCATTCAGATCAGCTACCTTTTGACCCTGGTTCTCCAAGAAACAGACATTGGTCCAAGCTTTCAAAATCTGCCTTAGGGTTTGGGAGAAGTTGGAATTAACTCAAGATCGAGTCGTTTCTTTTGCCTCTGATTCTCCCGTTTCGGGTTCGTCTGCCTGTGCAGTGGGCAGCTGGCAGCCCCCATGGAGGAAGCACTGTCTCAGTGCTCCTGGGCCAGTCTTGAGTTCTCTCAATGGCTTTGTGAATGTAAATAAGGGGCACTTCTTGGCCCTGAAGGATTTAGATTTTTTCTATATTTTAGAACTATTTTTGGATAAATTATATATTTTCCTTCCTGGTTGAATCATCACTGCCTGTAACTAGCCAAAAACACTAATCCATACTTATGCATTCTGCTTACTCGCACATTTTTAGTACCTGCTGTGAAGTGCTCAGAAAGCAGACACTATAACTCAAATCCGTGTTAGAAGGCCAAGAAGAGTTCTCTTGTGAGTCCAGTCCACAGGGTCACACAGTTGGGTAAGAGGGTGACAGTAATTCCGAGCAGTGTACTCTCCCCTCAACGTTTCCTTAAGCAGGTAATGTTTTGTAGATTTTTTTTGTTTTTGAGTCAGTCTTGCTCTGTTGCTCTGGCTGGCCTGGAACTCCCTGTGTAGACTAGACTAGCCTCAGATCCACCTGTGTCTCCCTACCAAATGCTGTGACTAAAGAGGCATGTGCCACCACACCTGACATAAATAGTCAAGGCAGGTTTTGGTTCTGTACTCAGATTTTCTTTCAATGAAATGAAACACAGGCGCCATGTTTATATAAAATAAGTGTGGGCAGAGGTGAGGCCAAACAAGAATAAAGGGGGAGAAAGGGACGTTACTGGCCTGGATTGACTGCTGGTCTTTGTAGACAACCGTGCAGTAGACTTTTAACGGGCACTCGTGGTAAGGCTTGGCCTGGGAGGTGGGATGGGTTGATTGCCATAGGTTACCCTAGTAAATACGGTATCAGCAAGGAACTAACAAACCAAATCATAAACAGTTCTTACGGTACTTCCCTCATCCCCTTCTGTATGAAACTCATGCCATCAGTTGCCCATTCTTGATATTTTATTCACAGCTTTATTACATATTTATTTGGAATATTTATTAAATTTCTTTTTCTGACTTATAGAACTAAACTCTCCCCTTATTTATGTGTTCTCTAGTATATATTAACCTGTTTTACACTTAAAGAGTATATATGCAAACTTTTTAGTTTGCAAAGAAAAAGAGAAAGTTCTGCATATCTCTCCTATTTCTAATTCTGGATGACCAACTTAACCACCAGAAAAATTCCTCTGATACATAAAATAGTTCTGCAGTTTTCAGTTTAGGATCAGTATGAGAAGCTGGGCAGCTGGGCGGTGGTGGTACCTGCCTTTAATCCCAGCACTCAGGAGGCAGAGTCAGGTGGATCAATGTGAATTCAAGGCCAGGCTAATCAGGGCTACACCTCTTCCAGAGGACCCAGGTTCAATTCCCAGCACCCACATGGCAGCTCAGAACTGTCTAACTCCCAACTCCAGGGCATCTGACACCTTCACATCAATGCACATAAAGGAAGTTTAGTTTTTGAGACAGTATCTGTACATAGCCTTGGTGTACACCAGGGTGGCACTGAAGTCACAAATCCACTTGCCTTTGCCACCAGAGTGCTGGAACTAAAGCCTGTGCCACCTTGCCCAGTAAGAGTCTGGATTTGTTTTTGAGACAGCCTTGAGGTAGCACTTGTGTTGGTTTTTAAGTCAAGATCCTCTTGGCCCTGCCTTCCAAATGTTGGGATCACACGTGTGTGCCAAAATGCTCAGAAAGATGTCTTCTAAATGACTTAGATGTTTAGACCCATGGTGTGAGACTCTTGGAAAGAGATGCTTGTCTTCTGTGCTGGTATCTCAAGAATTCTAGCCGCAAAGCCGACACTGAACCTGAGAGTAAGAAGCTAGAAAAGGCCAGGCATTGGTAGGCTTGTCAAACAATAAACACACTGGAAAGCCAGGCGTTGGTGGTGCACGCCTTTAATCCCAGCACTCAGGAAGCAGATGTAGGCGGATCTCAGTGAGTTCAGGCCAGGCTGGTCTACAGAGTGAGTTCCAGGGCAATCTCCAAAGCAATACCAAGAAACCCTGTCTCCAAAAACCTAAACAAACACTGGAGCACATATCCCAGTGAACAAGCAGGGTTTCTCCTGCTGATTCCTCTCAACTACACTACTGGGACTCCACAGGTTTCTGGTGACAATGAAGTAATACCACCTTCAGTCTTGTATATGAGGAGCATGGTAGGCAGGAAAATGACTGCCCCAAATGCATCTATTGGAATCCCTGAAAGTTATACCACCCGACATGGCAAGGATTGCTAGTCAGGAGTTAGTCTAGAGCAGCGGTTCTCAATCTATGGGCTGCAACCCTTTTGCAGGTGTTGCCTAAGACCATCTGGAAAAGATATTTACATTACAATTTGTAACAGTAGCTGAACTACAGTTATAATGTAACAATGAAAATATTTCGTGGTTGGGGTCACCACAACAGGAGGAACTGTATTAAAGGGTTCGGCATTAGGAAGGTTGAGAACCATGGTAATAACAGGTGCTGGAGCCTAGTCTTTTACAGTTAGGCTTCTAGACCTATCTTAAGTCTCCCTTTCCATTAGTCTCCCACTTTTCCTGTCCTTTGCTGCTGGCTGAAACTGAACCTCAGGCACCATGCGTGGTAGGGAAGAACTCTGCACTGAGCCATTAAAATACAAATTATTAAATTTGGGAGACCAGATTAGGTAACCTTCGGGCAAGTAGTTTATTAAAGCGCCAGTGACAAGACGAAGGGAGGGCTTTCAATCTGTTCGGGAGGGAGCAGAGTTCTTTTAAAGTCTCTTGTGATAAAAGTGGTTGGGGGCGGAGATGCTCAGAAGAAATGGGTCCAAGGTCCGCTGATGTCACCTAACTAGATTTGAAGACATAGGTTATTGTGTTTTTGGCTTTAGAAGGTTTTTAAGAGAACCCAGTTAAGTCGGGCATGATGACGCAGCTTTAATCCCAACCAGTCTGGTATACCTGCTACGTTCCAGGCTGGCCACAGTTAAATAGCGAGACACTGGAAAAACAAAACAAAACAACAACCAAAAACAGAATAAAAAGATCCCAAGGACATCCCCGGGGAAAGGGATTGGCCTAGTTAGTATGTGGTAACACTGACTGCAGGCCCTGCCTTTGGTTTTCTGGGAAAGTCAGGCCCTAGGAAGGGGTCAGGTCACCTTGGCATTCCTGCGAGTTGTGAAAGATAGTAGGGCATGTGGCAGGATCCGTGAGTCTTCATGGCAGCTGCCTTTGGTTTCTTCTGTGCATATGCCAAGTGCCTCCTCTCAGCCAAAACGCGGTCGGGTCCTAGTCACAATTCAGCAGGCCAAGTCCTGCCCACGCCACTAGCGGCCGTGGAATGCTGGCGCGCCAGCAGAGAGGTACCCGCCACTCGATAGGCGCTCAGGGACCGCCTCCGCGCCTGCGCACGGCGCGGCAGCGCAGATTTGAGACCACGCCGGACGCCCACGCGGAAGAGCTTCCAGGAAGTGACGGCTCCTCCGGAACTGATTGGTTGTCTGTCCCGCTCTTACGCGTGCGCACTGTCAGCGCGGAGAGACGCCATGGAGGACCAAGAAGCGCTGGGTTTTGAACACATGGGGCTGGATCCCCGCCTCCTGCAGGTATGGAAAAGATTGTGGAGCTGGGACCCAGCGTGCCCCCGCTCTGCGCGCCGCCTGAGCCGCGTCCTGTCCCTCCTTAGGCTGTCGCCGACTTGGGCTGGTCACAACCTACGCTGATCCAGGAAAAGGCTATACCTCTGGCGCTGGAGGGGAAGGACCTCCTGGCCCGCGCCCGCACAGGCTCCGGGAAGACCGCAGCTTATGCTATTCCTATGCTGCAGTTGCTTCTCCACAAGAAGGCGGTGGGTAGCGAGAGGGGCGGTGGGCAAGAGGAAGGAATCCCCAAAAAGCTGGGGAGGGAAGTGCCCATCTGCGCGAAGGTTTCTGTTGATCCCCTGGTCGCTGGAGAAACCTGGTCCACTTGCTCCGAGCTGGAGTTGAGGTTGCCTGTCTCAACCCAGGCCTTGCTGCTACTACCTTGTTATAATCTCGAGTAAATCATTTTTTTATCTAGGGAAGGCACATTAGCTGCATGCCTAGTATGGGTTAATTTCAGACACGCAGCATTTATTTTCTGATTTCAGTGCTTGGGAAAGCTCTCCATTCAGTGTTCTGAGGTGGGCAGAGTGAAGAGTTTATCAGAACGTAGCTAGGCGATTGTATTGCACTGTCCCCACGGTTGGGAAGAGGTGGGGAAAAGCGTCACGGGGATCCAGTACATTTACCAGTCTTTAACCCACGCTGTTACAGACGGGTCCTGTGATGGAACAAGCTGTGAGAGGCCTCGTTCTTGTTCCTACTAAGGAGCTGGCGCGGCAGGCGCAGGCCATGATGCAGCAGCTGGCTGCCTACTGTGCCCGAGACGTGCGAGTGGCTAATGTCTCAGCAGCTGAAGACTCGGCCTCCCAGAGGTGGGCAGAGCTGCGGGGCCTAAAGGGACAGGGCCGTGCGAAGATGTGTGTAGCTTTGGTTTGGTGAATAGCAAGAGAAGGCAGGTCTGCCGGGGTGGGGTTCTGGCTGCTAAGTTCTTGCTAACTTGCCACCTGCAGAGCCGTGCTGATGGAGAAGCCCGATGTGGTGGTGGGGACCCCATCCCGAGTATTAAACCACTTGCAGCAGGACAACTTGAAGCTCCGGGACTCCCTGGAGCTGCTGGTGGTAGACGAGGCTGACCTTCTCTTTTCCTTTGGCTTTGAGGACGAACTCAAGAGTCTTGTTTGGTGAGGAGGGCGTGACCCCCGTGAGTCTCGAGTTGGCTGGAGTGGGAAGGGTGGAACTGGAGCCTGATCAGGCCCTGTCTTTTCTTTCAGCCACTTGCCTCGGATTTACCAGGCCTTCCTCATGTCAGCCACTTTCAACGAGGATGTCCAGGCTCTGAAGGAGCTGGTACTACATAACCCGGTGAGGGCTGCGGGTGCACATCTGGAGCTGCAGCCGGGCACACGTGCCTTCTCAGAGGAGACGTTTGGTGTTTGGGGTGGGACTGTCTATTATTGTTGGATTTGTCATTCCTAGTTCTTAGTCACTGAAAGGAAGTCACCTAAAATTATATTTCTAGGTGTCCCTGGTCAAACTATGTTTTGCCTAGAAGGCTTACCTGGGGTCACTGTGTCCTCAAGGGGAGCCAAAATTCTAAGCTCAGAGCTTTTAGTCTTCAGAACTGTTATTCAGGCCTTCTGAGCTGCACATTGTCAGCATTTCTCCTGGTTGTGTCCGCTGTATGCTGTACGTGTGGTCTGTGTTTCTTTACGTCACAATAGTTAGGGTGCTTTGAGTTCTTGGGTTCAACCCTGTGGTTAGGGCGTGTGGGGGCATGGTGGTGGCTCACTGCTCCCCACTAGTGTGGCTGCTTTGGTTGCTGGGGCGGTGGCCGTTGTGCCTCTTGTCTTTCCTGATGACAGGTGTGTCCTCTTCTAGGTTACCCTCAAGTTACAAGAGTCCCAGCTGCCGGGGCCAGACCAGCTGCAGCAGTTTCAGGTGGTCTGTGAGACTGAAGAAGACAAATTCTTGCTGCTGTATGCCCTGCTCAAGCTGTCACTGATTCGGGGCAAAGCCTTGCTGTTTGTCAACACTCTAGAGAGGGGTTACCGGCTCCGCCTTTTCCTGGAACAGTTCAGCATTCCCTCCTGCGTGCTCAATGGAGAACTCCCGCTGCGCTCCAGGTTTGCTATGCTCTGTGTCTTGGTGAAGAAACAGGGAAGAAGAACCCAGTTTGTTCCTTTTTTTTTTTTTTTTTTGAGAGGTGGAGTTTTTTTGTTTTGTTTTGTTTTGTTTTTTGTTTTTTCGAGACAGGGTTCCTCTGTGTAACTTTGGAGACTGTCCTGGAACTAGCTCTGTAGACCAGGCTGCCTTCGAACTCAGAGATCCGCCTGCTTCTGCCTCCCAAGTGCTGGGATTAAAGGCGTGAGGTGGGGTTTTATGCTGTATTTGTAGTCCAGGCTGACCTTGAACTTGCAGCAGTCCTCCTGCCTCGGTTTCCCAAGTCTGGAATTAAAGCTAGGGCCCAGCTCACACATCTTGGTCCTATGTCTTCTCTCCCCTCCTCCCTCTTTGCAGGGCTTGGGATCGAGCCTAGAGCCTTGTTTGTGCTAGACAAGCACTCAGTCACTGAGTTGTATACCTAGACCCTTGGTTTGTTTGTTTGTTTGCTGTAGCCCTGGCTGTCCTAGAACTCACTCTGTAGGCCGGGTTGGATCTGAATCACAGAGATTCACCGGCCTCTGCCTTCCAAGTGCTGGAATTAGAAATGTGTGCCGCCGCCACCTAGCCCATTACTCCATTTTCTTTTGGGGGGGGGCGCTTTTTTGAGACAGGGTTTCTCTGTGTAGCTTTGGAGCCTATCCTGGCACTCGCTCTGTAGACCAGACTGGCCTCAAACTCACAGAGATCCCCCTGCGTCTGCCTCCTGAGTGCTGGGATTAAAGGCGTGCGCCACCGCTGCCCGGCCTCCATGACTCCATTTTCAAGTGAGGAAGTTAAGGCCCAGACCTGAAGACGATAAGAAATGATGGGGGACAGTGGGAAGGATGACGGATAGGGTGATACCGGGACTGAGGGGAGCCCCAGTGCTGCAGGCTGACCGTTCCTCTTGGATCGCAGGTGCCATATCATCTCACAGTTCAACCAGGGCTTCTATGATTGTGTCATAGCAACAGATGCTGAGATCCTGGGACCCCCAGTCAAAGGCAAGCGGCGAGGCCGAGGCTCCAAAGGAGACAAGTACGTCCACAGGGACTGTTTTTCTGCATTGAGTCCAAAGTGCGGAGAACAGGTTGCCAGACATTCTTATTGCTTATACCAGGCATATGGGAGCCCTTGCTTAGCTCCCCAGACAGACAGACAGACAGACAGACAGACATGGAGAAGTAGAGAGGGTGGTCAGGGCCACTGCCTGCATTTGCAGCACAAAGTGTCAGGCTGGGCATGGGTTGATGGGAGCTGACTTATAGGGGAGGTGGTCCAGTCAGCCCTGGCATGTGGCTACAATGCGCAGAGAAAGTGTTTGGGGTAGTGGGGAGAGGCACTAGGTGTTGCCTGCTTGAAGAGTTCAGGGTCGTAGGGGTAGTTTGTGGGTCAGTGTGTTCTGCTATTGCTCGGAACTGAGGTCAGGGCAAGGGTTTGGCCCTGGAGTAATTCTACTGTCCAGTAGTTTGGTGGCCTTTCAGCTCTGCTTACATGGTAGTTTAGAGACTGAACTTGAGAATGCCTTTCCAGAGAACAGGGGTCTGGTTGATATTTTGCTATTTCCTTAGGGCCGCTGATCCAGAGTCAGGTGTGGCCCGGGGCATAGACTTCCACCACGTGTCTGCTGTACTCAACTTTGATCTTCCTCCCACTCCAGAAGCCTATGTTCATCGAGCTGGCAGGTAGAGGCTGGCACTGTAGTGAGCCCGGCACCTGAAGGAGTTGGAGTGGCCTGGACAGGTAGTGATGTATGTCTGATCTTCTCCCACTGTAGGACAGCTCGAGCCAACAACCCAGGCATAGTTCTGACCTTCGTACTGCCCACAGAACAGTCTTGCTTGGCAAAGATCGAGGCGCTTCTCAGTGGAGGTAAGAGTCTTCTCCCGTCCCACCTTGGAACCTCCCACAGTATCTAGTATGGTGGTGTACAGCTGTCATTGAAGAACATGGGGCGTGAGATAGGATGATTGACAATTTGAGGCTAGCCTGGGGTATGTGTGTGTGTGTATGTACATATATATATGTATGTATGTGTGTGTGTGTGTGTGTGTGTAGCAAGACCCCTTTGTTGTTGTTGCTATTTTTAAATTAAAGACTGGATCAGTGGTTAAGCGTTTGCTGCTCTTTCAGAGGGCCCAGGGTTAGCTCCTAGCATCCTCTTGGCAGTTCATAGCTGTCTGTAACTCCAGCACCCTCTTCTGGCATCTGCAGGCACCAAACGTGTACATGGTACACATGTGTGCAAGAGGTAAAACATTCACACATAAAAAATAAAATAAATCTTTAAAGGCCCAGAGGAGAGGGGAGAAGACACTTTACAGCAGTGCCAAGTGTGGTATCACATGCTATAATCCCAGCACTTGGGAGCCCGAGGCAGGAAGATTAAGAGTTCTAGGTCAGCCTAGGCTACATAGCTAGTTGGAGGCTTCCCTGGGATATATAGTGAGGCCCTGTGAAAAACATCAAAAATCCATCGTGATGACAGACTCCCTCTACCGATGTTCAGCATCATCTTTCCCGTGTGACAAGTACTGTGTCCTTTCCTTTCTCAGATAGTGACTGAAGTAGTTTTCCACTGTCACGTTCACTGGTTGCCTCGTGGTCAGGGACTAATTAGATAGATATTCTGCTCTGTTTCGACTCAGATGTCTTAGGTGAAGTGTGCCTTGACTGCAGGCAGGCACTGTCATGGTGAGGGGTCTGACCTCACCCAAGCCCTGAAGTGAGTGGGCGGTGGGTGGGTTGGGAGGCCAGGGCTGTGGTGGCACACATGGCTCAAGGACACACCCCTGACCAGAGTATCTTGGGAACTGCTCTTAGACCCAAGTTAGTGATGTGGGACGTCTCAGGGTATAGCCTCTTTCAGAGAAGAGGAGCAGCAGGCTACCAGGGAAGGCCTTACATGGCCCTGTCCTCAGCCCTCACTGCTGCCTTCTCCCCAGAGGGCGAGGCTCCTATCCTGCTTCCCTACCAGTTCCGGATGGAGGAGATCGAAAGCTTTCGCTATCGCTGCAGGGTAAGCGAATGCTGGGGTGGGAGGGGGTGGTTGAGGAATGGGCTGTCACCCAGGGTTACAGCCATTGCTGAGCACTCAGGTATAAGGCTGTCTGACCCCTGGTCTACCCACAGGATGCCATGCGCTCAGTGACTAAACAGGCCATTCGAGAGGCGAGACTGAAGGAGATCAAGGAGGAGCTTCTACACTCAGAGAAGCTGAAGGTGAGGGCAAGCTTGGGAGCTGTCCTTTTTGAAGACTGGCTAAGCTCTGGGTAGTGAGAAGCAGAGCTGGACAGTGTGCTGATCTTTAGCAGGGAATCAGAAACCAGCTGAAAGACAGCTGTTCTTCTTGGAGGACGGTGGACACACTTCATGGTGGTCACTTGGCATTAGTCACAATGAGTGCGTGTAGGGGTGTGTGTGTATGTGTGCATGCAGCACTATGGGAGAGCCAAAGATGGAACCCTGGTGGGGTCCACACCAGAAGCCTTGGAATGCATAAGCCGTACCTGGATGTTCCACAGACATTGGAAAGAGGGAAGAGGCTTTTGGTGTGGTGACAAATGTCATCTGTAAGATGACACAAAGCTAAAGCAATTCAGTACTACTGTTTGCATCATAGAGAAGGGTGTCCTTGTGCAGGGGATGTCCATGGTTGGGAACTCAGAAGAACTAGCATCAGTGAATAAAGGTTCTAGCTGCCCTGAGTTGCCAACCTCTGGCATGTGAGAAGAAACTACATTGCAGAGTTGACAGATTTCCACAAGGTGGGGGTGTTTGACATTGCTTCAGCATGCAATGTCCCTTACTTGGCCAGCAGAGGTCAGCTGTGCAAACCATGAGAAGCCTTCCTGGTTTGTGCTAGGCTTTAGCTGTCAAAGAGAGTGAAGAACAAAATGGTAGGCACACTTGGTGGTGTCACTTTTTGGGCCTCTTCAACTTTGAGCTCTCTCTGCATGTCAGACATACTTTGAAGACAATCCCAGGGACCTCCAGCTGCTACGCCATGATCTGCCCTTGCACCCTGCAGTGGTGAAGCCTCATCTGGGCAATGTCCCTGACTACTTGGGTGAGTGTTGCTGAGGGTCAGGAGGCTGGAGGAAATGGCCTAGCTTCATGCATGTGAGAGAACCCTGGGACCCAGGCAGCCCAGCGTGTGTGAGCCACAGTGTGCCAGCTTATGTACACTTGTTTGACCGATCCCATGGTAGCTGTGTTGTCTCTGTCGTGGAGATGAGGAGACTGGTTGTGCAGAGTTGGCGGCACATTTCCAGGATGTGGTTGAGCAGGAGAATGAGCCAGTGACTGGCTTCCTGGGTTCTGTAGAGGCTGAGCGGGTTTGAGAGGGTCCTGGGCGCAGGAGCCTTGTGCTGGGGCTGCTCTCAGCTGGCAGGCATCAAGTTGAGACCTCTGTGGTCTGTAGGTAGGAGCAAATGAGGGAGACACACACTGCAAAGGGAAGGAGAGTAGCCACTCGCCCTTCTCATCTCATGAAGGCTCCGGGTAGTAGCTTTTCTTCAGACGTCTAACTCGGGGTATGGTTAGTAATGAGTATTCATGCCTACTATGCCTGCTGTGACCAAAAAGAAGAGCAAGGCAGCTGGGCGTGAGCTGGACCCTCCACCACTCCTGTTCTTGCCTGCCTGGAACGGGTCTGTTGATAGGATGTTCCTGCCACAGAAGTGATAGGAAGGTGTAGGAGGGACACGTCAGGACAGAAAGGTTGGAAGTGGTGCTAGAGGGCCTGGGAAAGATGGGAGCATGCTAACGCTGGGGGAGGAGCTGAAAACAGGCTCGTAGGGACGGTGACTGAAGACCTCAGCAGTGGTCCTGTCTGACATGCAGAGTCACTTACTAAGAGTGTGGCTAGGAAGTTTGTAAGAGCCAGGTGTGAAGTGTCAGAGGTGGCCTATCCTGATGGTTTTGTGAAGGCAGGGCCAAGATCACATGAAGTTTGCATGGAAGATAGAGGGAAGGTTAGGGCAGTAATAGCAGCTAGTGAATTTGCATTTCAGGAGCCACACATAGACTTTTCTTTTGTTTTCCTGTTTTTGTCTTTTGGGACAGAGTTTCTCTGTATGTCTTGGAACTCACTCTGTAGACCAGGCTAGACTCGAAGTCAGAGATCTGCCTGCCTCTGCCTCCCCAGTGTTGGGATTAGAGGCGTACACCACCACCTAGTGACTTCATTTTCTTTCTTTTTTTAAAATAATTTATTCATTTTTATTTTATGTGCATTGGTGCTTTGCCTGCATATATATCTGTGTGAGGATGTCAGATCCCCTGAAACTGGAGTTAGAGACAGTTGTGAGATGTCATGTGGGTGCTGGGAATTGAACCCAGGTCCTCTGGAAGAGCAGCCAGTGTCTTAACCACTGAGCCGTCTCTCCATCCCCAACTTTTTTCTTTTCTTTTTTATTGCATTTTCCTTGAAGATATGTCTTCTCTGTCTCCCTTCCTCTGTACTGTGTATACACTCAACCACTGAATATATCACAGCTTCTCTTTTCTTGGAACATGTTCTTTGTAGAAAATTTAAACACTGCAGATATTTAGACAGTAGGAGTCTAGGGAGCTAACTTTAATCTTTTATTGTTGTTTTTTGGTTTTTTTTTTTCATTTTTTGTTTTATTTTGTTTTTGTTTTTTTTTTTTTTTTTTTTTTTTTGAGACAGGGTCTCTCTGTATTATTTTGGAGGCTGTCCTGGAACTTGCTCTGTAGACCAGGCTGGCCTCGAACTCACAGAGATCCGCCTGCCTCTGCCTCCCTAGTACTGGGATTAAAGGCATGTGCTACCAAGGCCTGGGAACTTTTATCTTTTGTCCCTCCCCTTTCTTTCCCTCTTTTCTTTCTGGCTTTTTGAGACTCTGAATATCCCTGGCTGTCCTGGAACTCGCTCTGTAGACCAGGCTGGCCTTGAGCCCAGAGATCCATCTGCCTCTGCCTCCCGAGTGCTGGGATTAAAGGCGTGCGCTGCCACTACCCAACTGGAACTCTTTCTTGGGTGGGGATTGGAGACTGTGCTGCTGTTGTATAGGGTAGCCCTGAGAAGGGGGAGGGACAATGCTGGAGCCCAGGTCTCATGGGGTAGGGAGGACTTTGCAGCTGGAGTTTAGCAGCAGGGGTGAGGCTGTGTGTAAGGCCCATCGTCTCTTCCAGTTCCTGCTGCTCTTCGTGGCATTGTGCATCCTCGAAAGAAACGGAGAAAGCTGCCCCCCTGTAGGAAGGTTAAGGTATGTCTCCCGGGAGTCTTGGGACAACAGCAGGGCTCCTTCTCACCTTGCCTAAGGGAGGGATAGGACTCCCAGGAATAGGGTGTGGGTCTGTCCCACAGCTGTCTGAAGGCCCTGTTTCTGTCCTTAGCTGGCTACCTCACATGGTCTGTGGCAGCCGGCAGTTTCTGGCTATGGCACAAGGGTCTTGCCAGGTGCCAGCACTTCTCACTCTGTCTGTTGGGATCGTCTGACTGATGCTCATAACTTACTTGTGACTCTACCCTTGCAGAAGGCGAGAACCCAGAACCCACTGCGTGACTTCAAGCACAGGGGAAAGAAACTTAAACCCACAGTGAAGGCCTCCTGAGGTGGCCTGGGCCTGAGGACACTGAATTGGGCATCCTGACCTGGATGGAATGAGCGGGCTTCCCACTATGTGGTACACTCTGATGCTCACTGTCTGGAAAGACTGTACTTTGGAGAAGCAGCCTTGGACTGCCATCCTGCCCTTTAACAGAATAAAGATTCTAGCTGCCCCAGGCTGTGAGCCTCGGACATCTGAGAAGAGACTGCTTTCACGAGTCTCCAGAATCGACAAACTATCAGAAGGTGGTGGTATCTGGCTCTGTATGAAGAGGTCAGCTATGTAAGCCATGAGAAGCCTGTTCTGATTCTGCTGGTCCAGTGTTGGGCTGCGGCTGACCCAGAGCCCTGTGACTATTGAGCCAGATCAGCTGATAGATGGGTTTACATTCCCAGGTCAGGGCATTCCTGACCACCAGCCCCTGGATCTTAGCAGCACACACATGTTCACATTCAGAGGGAAACATCACTGAGCCCTGGGAGCCAAGCAGCTGGCTTCCCTTCCCGGTGTTCATGTTTTTTCAGATGCACAAGTGGTAGTATAATGAATGCACACCATGACACCTGTCAGGGCTTCTGTTGCTGTGAAGAGACTCCATGACCTCAGCAACTCTTATAAAGGAAAACATTTAATTGGGGCTCAGAGTTTCAGAGATTTAGCCCCTTGTCGTGGCAGGACATGGCTACGTGCAGGCAGACATGGTGCTGGAGAAGGAACTGAGAGTTATATGTGTTGATCCATAGGCAACCAGACATGAACTGTGACGTTGAGCATACGAAACATCAAAGCCCACCCCTACAGTGACACTTCATCCAACAAGGCCATAGCTCCTATAATGCCACTCTCTGTGGGGGGCCATTTTCTTTTAAACCATCACAACACTCCTTCCTCCTTGTCCTAACCTGAGCACTGACTACAGGAACATTCAGAGGAGATGGTTCTCTGCTCGCTCAGCGTCCTACCCTCCCTTTTGCTATGGTGTCTCTTTGGCTGTCTGCTTGTCACTTGCCTGTCAGGCATCATTAGGCTAAGCTGTGGTGGAAGGAGAAGAGACAAATGTCAAACCTAAAGTGAGGCTTTGGTTATAGTTAGGGTGTGTGACGTGAGTGACAGATCTGAGTTTGTGGTTTAACTCCAAGGAAGAAAAGAATTGGTCAGTGGGTAGATGTATTCCGGAGCCTCTGTGCCTACATGTTTGTACAGCCATGTGTTTGGTTGTATTGACCAAGAGTCCTTGGAGCTGGAAATAAAGAAACTCTGGGGACTGGGAAGATGGCTTCATGGATAATATGCTTGCTGTGCAAGTAGCGAGGGCCCAAGTTTGCACCCTTAGCATCCATATAAAAGCTGGGCGTGGCAGTCTGGATGTGCAACTCCATTGTGGGCCTTCTGGGGAGAGCACATGATCCTTGGAGCTTGCTGGCCAGCCCGTCTAGCTAAAGCAGCAAGCTCTAAGTTCAGTGAAAGACCCAATTCCAAAAATGAAGGTGGAGAGTGACAGAGAAGACTGACTTCAGCTCGAGGCCTCTGCATGTGTAGCAGCATGCCCAGCACACGCCCAAAAAGAGCAGCTCCTGGCCTGTTCTGTTGACAGCCATGGACAGTGAGTCTCTAAGTTGAATGTTGCATCCCATGCCTGCTCTAACATGGTACACACCTGCTCCTGTGTCTTTGCCTGTGATCCTGCCCCCTTAGTTTCCATGGTGAAGACATATGCCCCAGAACCAAACAATGGGAAGATTGGGTTTCCCCAGTGAGGCTTTTATGGGGAGATGAAGCTGGTACTCCATTGTGTGACGTCACTTGGGAGTATGGAGAGCATGGCAGCTATCGTATGTGTGCTTTCCAACTTAACGGCAGCCCTTGGTGTCCCAGTCGGGGCAGCTGAGGCTTAAAAGTGGCTCAGCAGGTAAAGGTGCTTGCCAGCAGGTTTATGAACCAAATTCAATCTCTGGAACCCCCATGATGGGAGAACTGACTCCCACATATGTACCATAGCATTTGTGACCCCCTCCTATAAATAAATGAAAACTAAAGCAACCCAGTAAAGATGAGGTCATATATCATATGGGAATAGGTAGAGTCTGGAGGCTGGCCTGGCCAGGGGTGCAGGGCCATCTGTCGTGGTTGTCAGCTGCAGTAGCTCCTGGGACTTCTGCCACTACTGCATCCTTGCCCATGAAGGTGATATAAGTGCTTGGGTAATCTGTTGCAGTTGCAACAGGTCCTACATTTTGGGGGGGATGAGATGACGTAGAGAAAATAGAAAAGGTTCCTAGTATTCTCTGAGTTAGATAGAATATGTAGAACTGTCTTAGGTTTACTGTTGCTGTGATGAAACACTATGATCAAAGCAACTTGGGGGGGCAGGGCAAGAGTTTATTTAGCTTACAGTTCCGTAAACAGTTCATCAAAAGCAATGAGGGTAGGAACCTGGAGGCAGGAGCTGAAGCAGAGGCCATGGAGGGGTGCTGCTTAATGGCTTGCTCAGCCTGCTTTCTTTTAGAACTCAGGACCACCAGCCCTAGGATGGCACCACCCACCATGGACTGGGCCCTTCCCCACCAATCACTAATAAAATGCCCTACAGTCATACCTATAGCCTGAATATAATGAGGTATTTTCTTAATTGAGTCTCCCTCCCAAATGACTTTAACTTGTGTCAAGTTGGCATAAAACCACAGCACATTAATTCTGCCTTGACGTGTGTAAAGATTCATGTGCTTGGGGTGGCATAGTTGTCTCTTAGATTCTGTGTTATTAACCTTACAACAGCTTATCTAAACTAGGATAGGATGAGCCTGTGATTAGGTATGCTCATAGTAGAGTCAAGAATGGATACCCGGGACTAGGAGGTACTTGGCCATGTTAGCCTGGAAAGGAAGAAAGGGGAAGGACTTGCTGGAAGTAGAAAAATCCAGCTAGTTCTCCAGTCTGGGGATGCCCTATTTCCCCAGTTACACTTAGGTGACCTGCTGTGTCTTGGCCATGATATTGTTTAGAATCAGCAATAAGGCAGTCTGCATGCAAGAACGATTATGGGAACCAGGAATTGGACCCCAGGTAGTAGTGACACGCACCTAGAGGCAGGCAGATCTCTGAATTCCAGACCAGCCTGGTCTACAGAGTGAGTTCCAGGACAGCCAGGGCTACACAGAGAAAACCTGTCTGGGAAAAAAAGAGTTGGATCCCTAAGCCACAGTTGACCTCACAAGTTAGGGCTTGTGCAATCTGTTTTTACCTATAGGAGGAAACTGTGTGTCCCTCAAGACTTACATTCCAGGATGGAGGGTTGACACTTGTGTTGTACCCAAACTGGGAAATGGTGGGGAAGCCAGGACGCTAGAGGTTTGAGAAGGGTCACATTTGGTTGGAGTGCCTGCTGAGGCAAGAAGAAATGGCAGTCCTGCCAGGGGACCTACATGTGCAAAATTCCCAGGGAATGAAGGTACATTTGAAGATGAAAACACCGGTGTGGTTGTCACCAAAGTATGTGGGATTGAAAACTCATCTGATAGACAGAAATCTGAAGGTGGTCTATAAAAAGTGAGAAAGAGTGCTGGGTTCTTTGAGGATAGCACCCTGATCCAATAGTCATGCCAGGTTGACAATGGAGGACAGACAGGGTGTGTCCAGAAACCTCTGGACCTAGAGCATGGAAGATTCCATGCGCCATACTGATTCTGTTTGCACCTGCTAAGGATTAATGATTCAGCTTTTGAGGAACTCATTGCGGGACTTTGGCCTTTATGATTGATGTCCCTGGGAGGCAATTGATAAGGCAGAACTTGAGCACGGAGACACCACAGCTCATGTCATCCTCCAGGAAAATAATTACTATGAGATGTCCACCTTACAGAAGGGGCTGCTGCAAATTGCTGCTTTTCCATTTATAGCAGCCTGCCCCTTCCATCCTCCATCCTCCCTCCCTTCCTCTTTCCCACCCTGCCCCCCCATGTCTCTCTCTCTCTCTCTCTCTCTCTCTCTTTTGAGTCAGGGTTTCTCTGTATAACAGCCCTAGCTGTCCTGGAACTCGCTCTGTAGACCAGGCTGGCCTTGTACTCACCAAGATCAGCCTACCTCTGCCTCCCAAGTGCTGAGTTTAAAGGTGTGCGCCACCGCAATCAGCTCTCCTTTTCTTTTTAAATTTTTATTTATTTGTTTGTTTGTTTGATTTGCCCAACCCTCTCTCTTCTTAACAGGAATAAAGGAAGAAGAAAGTTGGTTCACTGAAGAGAGCCAAGTAGACCTGTTGTATGCTGGGCACACACACGCATTACGTATTCTTGAGAGGCCTCCAGAGCCAGAGAGGTCCAACCTTCCTAGCTCATCCACCTAACTGCCCACACACACACCAACAAACCCCAGGGGTTAGCACAGAGTTAGGGTTAGGCTTACAGAGCAAGATACATCAAGAGGGTCCTGTGATGGAGGGCATAGTGGCTGGGCCAGACCATCTCAGCCGCTTACTGACCGTATAGCCTCAGAGACACTACACTGCCTTTTGTTTGTTGTTTGTTTGCTTTTCAAGTCAGGGTTTCTCTGTGAAACAGTCCTAGCTGACCTGGAACTCACTGTAGACCAGGCTGGCCTTGAACTCACAGAGATCCGCCTGCCTCTGCCTCCCGAGTGCTGTGGTGCCCGTGTGCTGTCTGGAGGGTTCCACGAAGCCCAATGTAGCACAAAGGTGAAGTGCTGGTGTGACCTGGTCACCAGGCACCCTTACTGTGGCCCTGCTCTGTGCTGACACCTGATGCTTCTCTAATGTTCATATAATGCCTCCTCCCCCCCATGTACACCAAATCACAAAGCGATCCTCACAAAATACAGGGACTTGGGGCTGAGACAGGCTCCAAGGTGTGCCTAACATACCAAAGACGCCAGGTTCTGTTTCCAGGTGCATTAACAGACTCCTTGTTCTGCAGATCTAGAGCAGGGCTTGGGATTTGAGGTTTACCACATGTCTGTCTTGCAGGTGGACAAGCAGGTTCTGATTACAGACCCACTCAGCTGGCTAGGTGATGCTAACAAAGGACCCTGTCTCTAGCCTGCAAAGTTCAGATCTGTTGTGAGGCTGCTCACTCAGCCGGGGCAGTACGGACATTCATTTACTTCAAAATTTCAGGAAGGTGAGGAAGGTTACCACATAGCCATGTCCTGGAATGTTATTACGTTTAAAAAAAAAGTATTTGGGCCGGGTGGTGGTGGTGGCGGCGGCGGCGGCAGCGGCGGCGCACGCCTTTAATCCCAGCACTAGGGAGGCAGAGGCAGGAGGATCTCTGTGAGTTCGAGGCCAGCCTGGTCTACAGAGTGAGTTCCAGGACAGTCTCGAAAACAATACAGAGAAACCCTGTCTCGAACAAAACAACAACAACAAAAGTATTTGGGACTGAGGGTGTAGTTCGGTGGAAGAGCAGTGCCTATCATGTGACATTCTAGGATTAACTCTCAGCAGCACAAAAAGGGAGGGGGCGTTGTTTTCTGTAAATTCAAGTTTAGCTGTGACCTGCGTATATGTTGTATTTAGCAGGCCTAGGGCATTAACCCTTTCTCATTCAGTGTGCCCTCCCCCAGGAAAGCAGACCTGAACCCAGTCTGTGCCTCTAATAATTGTCTCACTGATGAAACTTCAGTTTCTAGTGGTGTGCCTCACCCTGCTGTAGGCAGGAGTATGGCAAGTTGTTTGTGTGTTCCTGGGTACAACTACTCACTACTGAAAGGTTTGCCCTGAAGGCATCAACACCTCTCTTTTCCTGGCTCAAGAATCTTTAAGAAGATGTCCAGTTAAATGAGGAAGGAAAAATCATGGAACGAACTCACTTGGCAGGGTTGGACTCTGCACCCAGCACAGCAGGCAAGACCCAGGAGGCTTTCGCCATGTCATCTCCGTGACTCAGAGCGTAGACGGGAGGCCCCGGCTGCACTCTTCCAAGGGCGGAGATGTGTCAGAGGCCCCTTGTTGACCAGACTGGGTAACTGATGTGGACGCCCATTCCCGCTAGACGCCAGCTCTGTAGGCAGAGACTGTCCATCTGAGAGGTCTTGCTGCAGACCCCCTGCTTCCGGGCTCCCTTTGGGCTGACAGTCCACATAGTGCAAGTGGTTGGCTTAAGGTTAAAAAATGCAGTGCACTGTTAGAGACAATAACAGCAAAAGTTAAGCGTCCGTGTACAAAGGCTACCAACCACCTCTCGAGCTGTTTGAGGATTCAAGGTCTCGTAGAGACTACGCAGGAAAAGCCAGCCTTTCTGGCCTCATCCCAGCTCAGACT